CGGGGGGGGGGGACATCCTTTGTATGTTTCCCATTGGTGGTCTTTGTAATTCTTTGAAAAGTATTGCATGGAGGGGGATGGGCCACAGGGTACACACTATTGTATGTATTGTAGCTTTTATCACTCATGGTTGTGTGTTATGGATTAAGACCTGGTGGTCAATTTAACACTAGCTGGATTACATTAGCATGGTACTGAGCATAGATGCTCCACCTGAGGAAAGTTACCAGCATAAATAGGTGGAGAAGGAGAAGGAGGTTGTTGAGGCATTGAGGTTATTGCATGGAGCCATTGTGGGTTCTCCTATGAGTTGCTATTTGAGCTGTTGTTTCTCCTGGAGAAGCTCTAGTCCTCACCTCAAGCATTGCTTCCTGGCTCTGGAGGGGAAGATTGTGCTGCTTGGACTCCAGGATGAACTCATCACACTGGGTTCCTGGCATGTACTTGACTGTGCTTGTCGTTGAAGGCACTCAGGGCTCTGTGTCGCTGAGGATGGCTGTGGTGCCTTTCAGGACAGCCTTGGTCTTTATTTTGAGTGTGACTTCTCAGCTCCATTGTAGAACCATCATCCCACTAGCCCAGCTCCTTCATCCTGCTGGCATGGACTTTCTGGCTTCTACCCCTAACCTTTAGGTCTTCCCAGCATGGATCCATAAAGGAGACTGGCATGAATCCTTCTTGTGGGCTCTGGACCTCCAGTTGGACTCGTGGGAGGCATTGTCGTGAGCTCTGGGTTTTCATCTGAACTCATATGGGACATTGCTATGGGATTTAGGCCCTTGACTAAATATTCTATGTCTTTGGTGTTGTGAATAGGTTTCCTGCATTTTCTTGTGTTAATTCCCAGTGACCATTATGAAAATAATATTATAAACTCCATGTCCTGATTCTAATTGTTCTCTGCACAACCCTGACTACAACACTGTGTCAAAATGATTTGGAGGCAACCAAATCACAGAAGCATTGGGCGTACAGTTCACTAATGTGCAGTCACCCTCAGAGGATGAACAATGTAAATTCTTATACCAATAGGTAAACAGATAAGTGTCTTCTGGTTATTTGAAAGGAGTAGCTTCCTGGACAAAATTTCAAAAACCTGAAATCTCTTCATGGTTGTGTGAAAAAACAAGAACACCATGGAATGGGTCAAGATGAAATTTCTTCCATCCAGGTCACCATGCCACTTTGAGTTTGTCATCCAGACTTTCCATATTTGTACTATGTTGTAGTTCATATCATTTATACTATCAGTATCATAATAAATAACCACCACATTGACTGATGATGTATCTGTGGTCAGGATATCATATTTATGCATAGCTGAGAGATATGACACAGCTGCAGTTGACACCATTTTCATAAAGGCTACACAGACTCTGTTCCTGTCCATTTCAGCTCTCATATCTGAGAGAAACTGAAGGCCTTTATGGTATTCTGTGATGAACAGGCCCACCCAGGTCAGGTGGAAATGAAGCATCAAGGATACCATGTCAAGGGTATGGCCTTGCTCCTTCTCTGATGGTGGAGTCACCTTCACCTAGGTGGGAAGCCATGGGTAATTCCACCACCCTGCATTGCAGGACACCATGCTTTTGATGCTGATCTGCATGATGCTGGAGCTCTGCCTGGCTGTGCTCATGGCTGCTCTATGGTGGAAACAGACTCAGGCTGACTTCTGTGGGGTGAGTTTGTGAGTGGAACCACCCTGATCCTCCCTGGTCACCAGGCATGGCAGGTGGAGCCCTTGCCATGGGTCTTGAGAAGGCAGGGTGTGGTGGTTTGGGTGGGGATGGAAGACAGGTGGATGAGGGTGGCAGAAGATGACAGAGGCGCTGAGCACCTGAGCCTCACTGCGGTGGAGAGAGGTCAGCCTGAGTGCAGCTGTTCCCGTCCTCCTGTTCTGGGAAAAAGGGACTTGAGAAGCAAGTAGGCTCACTGGGTGTCTTTGGCTCTGCTGCTCTTCCTTTAATCTTAAAGTTCCTATATTTCTCCAGAAGATACTAAGCAAATGTTAAGTCAAAAAAGCATGGAACGTTATCCTACTCCCCTATGAACTCATTGCTTCACTTATGGAATTATAAAGCTTTGATTTACCTGAAGGTTTAATCATAGGGTGTAGAATGAGTACCAGACTGATGAACAGCAGTTAGTGGGCGAATGTGATAATGCCCTGTTCTTGTCTTGGGAGAGCGAAGGATTCTTTCTCTAGAGGGTGGAAAAGGGCGGGCATCCAGGCACAGGTTCATGGCAGCCTGAGCCAAATCTGAAACCCAATGTATTTTCTTTCTTTTTCAAGTTGTTCTCCCTGAATCAGAGAAAAATAATCCCAGCAGGCCCTCCAAAGCACACTCTAACCTTGTAGGTAGGGAGATACTGAGTTTTTAATAATGAAATTGGAAAATATTCAATATAAAGTCAATTTTGATTTTACAGACAACCTAGCCTTCAAAAGGTAGCAAACTTTCAGTTCCTTTCTCATCAAGGGTTTTGTTGAATGTGTGCTCAGGGCTGCAGTCTTGGTGTTCCTCTTGCCCTTCAGAGAAGTGGTATTATGGAAACATGTTAGCTGCACTGATGGAGGAGCTCAGACCCTCCCAGGAAGAAGCAGAGGGTATTTCAGTGGACCTCAGGGGTGCAAGGATGCAGCTTTGTCCTGTCTCCCGTCGCTGAGCGGGTGTGGACTCAGCTTTCCTGGTGCTCTGACCCCATGGGTGGCTCTAGCTCTCATGCATGCACTGTGTCACTAGTGCGGGGATCCAAGTCCTCACAGCATGGCATCAGGACCTTTCAGAAAAGGAATTAGCTTCATAATAAAGTCTGAAAGTGCATGCAGATTTTATTTGAGAAGTTAGTTTGATTATTTTGATAATTTTCCTTCAAGACAGAGCAAATCAATAATGTTAACTGAAATGTATATTTGATGTCTCATCCAAATTTGGTCTCAACCTCTCAACCAAAATCAGCACACAAAAACTAATCAGGAATATTTACTCTAACACTAACCCTACCACTAAGCTTAGCTACAGCCCCAGCACTAACACATTTTCCATTTTGGAATTAATTTTCCTGTGAACATAGGACTTGCTTGAATCCATTATGTAGGGAAAGCTGGTGCTGTCACATTTTTTGACTTTTATATACCAGAAACGTGAACTTCATTTTGATTTTGGAAGACATTGCTCAGTACTAATGGTAAGCTGATGAATGAACTTAGTTCTATAAACATTTGTCATTTCATCTGTGTCCTAAGTTGTGTTGTTTCTAATAAGAACCCCACTGGAACTTTACTGTGGCACTAAAGATGGATTGCATTAACTTTAAAACTGACAGGCAGCTTAGGAAAGCACACCTCTTGATGTGTCCTTGAAGTATAACACGGAGTGCTATATCAGACACATGGCCCCATCTTCTCAGGAAAAATTAATCTGCTCCACCTCCCAGCTGCCATGAAGTAAGCAGCTTTGCCCTTCTGCCATGATGTATCTGCTTTAGAGCCAGCCAAACATAGACTGAGTTTCCTGAAACTTGTAGGTGCCAGATATGGGTCCAGTGAACAAATACAAAGAACTGGGACTAAAGAAGTGGAGTCCAGTCAGTGACTGCATGAGTCCATGCTGTTCGGCGCATTTGGAACAGTCTTGAGGAAGGGATTTGGGGATGTTAACAGCTGTGTGCTAGAGAAGCCCTGCAATGCCATAAGCTAAGTCTAATAGGTGTTTCTGATGGGAACTCAGATGGCCAGATTGCTGACAAACTGCAGAGAGTGAAGCCAACTCTCAGGATGGGAGACTTCCTGTGCATGCTACATTCTGGTCAGAAAGAACTTGTCTGCATTTGGCAGGTGTCCTGAAACCTTCATGTCTCTCTTACTTTCCATCTCTGAGACAAAATACTTGACACCTGCAGTTTAGAGGAGGAGGGCTTTCTTTGGGCTCACAGTTCTAGTTTCTGGTGGACTGGCTGCAAGGCAGAAACAGGAGGGAAGAGGGACATAGCCAAGGGAAAGGTGCTCAGGCCACGGTGGCCAGCAACACCCTTCCCAGCAGCCTCATACCCTAAGAGCACATCTATTCCCTGAACTCATCAGTGGACAAGTCCTCTGCAGAGTATGCTTCCTTTCCCATCCAACAAACTTCCACACACAAACCTTTCAGGAACATTTCGGGATAAAAGGTACTACACCCCACACCTTGTTCCCAGAGTCTCATGTTTATCTCATGAGAGTAAACTGAGCTCCTCACTTAGAGTCAAATTGACATGGCATAGGAGTTCCAGGGTTACTGAAGTCCCATAGAGCATTCTTATCAAAAAACAAAAACAACCATTCTTACCACCAAGGAGCAGGGCCACAAATTGAACCTCAAGGAAGAGAGGCAGCAGCCAGCAATAGGCCAAGCTAAATAGAAGGAACAGGCCCCATGTGCAGACAGGGCCACAACCAGGGCATGAATTGGAAATGCTGCACTGCAGGGTAGGGCAGGCCCCTGAACCTGTCCCTCCCCAATGTCAGATCAGGCTCCGGTCTGAGGCTCATTAGAACAGGCTGCCCTGAGAGCCTCCACAGCAATCCCCTCACCACACTCTAGCAGGATCCAGGTGACAAGGCAGGTAGATGTCATCGAGCCCTGCTGGACCAGCTCAAACATGGGCTCTGCCACAACCCAACGCGTGCCCTCTGCGGGCAGCATCTGCTCCCTGCCCCTCATCTGATCCTTGCCCTTCCTTGCCAGGAAACTGATAGAATCCAATTATTTCCAGTCAAATGAAAATCAGCATAAATGGGACCATGAGGACCAGGTCACCAGGAACCCATCCTGTCTCTGTCCTTCAGAACCATAAATAAGTTTTAAAATTCAAACTGTGATAGGGAAAAGAAGAAAGAGGAGAAGAAAAATTATACTGAAGATAATTGCACAGCTAGCTTCTATTTGTTCCTTGAAAACAATGTCTTATGCTAATTTTTTTAAATTTTATTTAAGGAGAAAAAAGAAAAAAAACAGAAAAAGGGTACAAGTTATACAGAATTTCAGAAAAAATAAACAGGAAATCACTAGTTAATTACATATTGTCATCTTAGAAATAGTTGTTGAAGTTACAAAATTAAAGCATACAGAGGGGACCTTCAAACAGTGAGACTGCAAACAGTTTTGTTCAATGATCCAACAAAACTCAGCAATATGGTTATCCATCCTACACACCCAAACATACATGCAGTTATATCTCCCAGAGAACTCTTCCCTCCCTTCTTCCGTACAATGACAATTACACATATTGGGTTTCACTGCTCCCACAGTTCTTATTACTTTTTTTTTTGAAGAAAGTAAAACCAAATGTGACATACCAGGACAGAGTCAGTCAAATCAAAAGGATGGACATAATACATAATGTAAAAACAAAATACAAGGTGATCAACAATGGTTACCATAATGCCTCTTGTTATCTCACAAAGAATTGCCTATATCATCAGTTATAATAAAATTGAACAAAACAGTAAAGAATAAGACCAATAAAACCAAAACATTGGAGACATTAGAGGACTTCAAAAGAAGATAATAGTCAACCAGAATGGGCATCACAATGAATCTTATTGTCTTCATAGTTGTTGCCTAGACTTTCAAACTTGGTACTATCAAGCATAACAGAATAGAGGCATATCAGTCAAAACAAGATGGTGAGAGCAATACAGAGTTTCAAATCAAGTTAATAGGAAATCAAAGTGGGTTACTATAATATATCCTGCTATTTTTTATTTATTTTTCCCTTAATTAAAAGGATAAAAATGAAAAAGTACATAATAAAAAGGAGATTGAGATAAAAAAAAAAGAGGGCATAACAACAAAACAGCACATAGCCATTTAAGCAAAATAGTGTTTCACCACAAGATAATCTCGACATAATAGTAGTTGCCATAGTGTCTCTTTCCTTAAAATCTTTGGGTATAACTTCGTATACTGTAGCATCAAACATATCAAGACAATGTAAAACCGTTCAAGAGAATGACAGTATTACAGGGTATTTAGAATCAACTAACAGAAACTAAACAGTGGTTTCTGTGTAATCTCCCTGTCTACAAAAGTTGTTTATATTATCACATATAATAAAATCCGACAAGATACAACACGTTAAAACTGATGGAGACAGAAGAACAAAAGTTTGATGAGACTTCAAAACAAGAGGATATTAAATCAGCACTACCTATTGTGATGTCTTGTTTTCTCCAAAATGGCTGTTCCTACCATCCAACCTTCTCTGCCTCATTTCTGTTGAGCTCTTTTTCTGTCATTAGTTGTCAGTTTGTCCTCTTCATTTTGCTTTCTGCTCCATTCATTGTGGCCTCTCTGTCACTGTTCCTGGAATCTTGGTATTTTTCATTTCTAGAATATCCTGCAATAATCTCTGTAGAGTTGAATTGGTGGTTGCAAATTCCCCTAGTTCCTCTTTATCCTGGAAGCACCTTGTTTTTCCATCAATTTCTAGGGACAGTCGTGCAGGATATATCAATCTTGGCTGGAGGTTATTGTCTTTCAAAGCTTGAATTATTTCCCCCCACGCTCTTCATGATTTCATGGTTTGTGCCAAGAAGTCTGCTGTAATTCTGATGGGTGTTCCCTTGTAAGTGATCTGTTTCTTGTCTCTGATGGCTTTTAATATTCTGTTCTTATATTGGATTTCTGGAATTTTGATTATTATATGCCTGAGTGTAGCTCGGTTTGGGTTGTAGGTGGCTGGGATCCTGTATGCCTCATACATCTGAGTATCTTTACCTTTTGCTAAATTAGGGATATTCTCCTGGATTATTTCTGTGAATAGCTTTTGTAGTTCATTTGTTTGAGTCCCTGCTTCTTCTTTTATGTTCTTAATTCATAAGTTATAGATCCTCTTATCATCTTCTAGTCTTTGTATTATCGCTGTTTGTTTTCTTGTTATTTTGAAGAAGTTTTTCATTTCATGCTCCCACCTTACAAATCTGTCCTCCAGTTCTGATAATCTATCCTTAGTTTCTTTCAAGCTGTTATGCCAGCATTCAATAGAGTTTTTAGTTTCCTGGTAATCTCTTTGAACCTGCTTCACGTATTCTATGTTTTCTCTATTTTCTCCATCAAACAATTCTCCCCTTTTTTTCTGTTCTTCCATTCCACCATCTGTGTTTTCTTGGGCGGTGCTTAGCATTTCTCTAACTATTCTACTTATTTCTTGCTTTATTTCATTAAATACTTCATTTGAACTCATCTATGAGGCTCCGGAGATACCACTTTATGTCTTTAGGTGCCATATCTGATACTGCATGTTTGCTATCTTCATTCTCTTTTGCATTTACCTTTCCTGGATCAGTGTTCTCAGGATTGGGGACTGAGGACCCTTTCTTGTTGCTCCCTTTTCCCATACTTTTTGTTCTTTCCATACAAGTATCTGTAGGAGGCCCAGTTTTGTTTTGTTTTGTTTTCTCTCTCTTTGTCTGTTACAGTTTGTTTGAATCTGCTGGCTAGGTGTTCCCTCCCACTGCAGTGTACTAGGGATACACAGACCTGGGCAGCCTCTTCTGGGCCCACCCCTCCAGGTCAACCTACTGAATGCTTCACTGCTAGGGTGCACCACCAGGTGCAGGGACCTGATTTGGGCTAACCTACTGGATCTTAGTCTGCGGTGTCACCAGGCCAAGTGCTCCCCACCACTCCCACTTGAGAGGGGAATATGCGACTAAAGTCACTACAGGGCCCTGTTCCGGCTAGTCTGCTCATTCCCAGAATGTCCTCTTTTGGAGCCTCCTAGTCTATGAAAGGGTCCCCATTTCTCTCACTCACCACAGGTCAATGCAGGGCTCCCTGCCAGTCCCGCTTTCAATGCCATTTGGTTTGCCGATTCCAGCTCCCAGAGCTTTTGCACGTCTCTCTCCCTGCCATATGGATTGGGATGCAGTATCGGCAGCAGGAAATTCAAATCGCGGCTTCCAATGGTGCGGGATCCAGCTTCCGCACTGAGATTTTATCTGTTCCTGTTATACCATCAGGATTGCATTTCCAGTTGGTTTCTCTCAGCTTAGTTCGTTCCTGGGTCAGCAGGGTACATCTCCCCTCGCGTAGGACTCCTCACACGGCACTGCTCCTGGATTCTAAACTGGTAATCTCAGAGAGCCTCTGTGGCTGCTGTTATTTGTCTGCCATGTTCTCCCAGAAGTCAAGGGGCTACGTCTTGTGCTAATATTGTTTAGATGCAATAACATGCCTACATCCTGCATTCCAAATAATTACCACAAAGACAACAGCATGCAGTATTTCAAGTATTGTCACACTCCTACTAACCTGTTTTGAAACTGTTTCATTATTTATCTTGTTTTACTCTATAAAAAAGATTTTTTAAAATTTAAAACATTAAAAATTTTTATTGAAATATTTTTCTCATTTTTTTCATTTATATTCAAATAAATGCACATTTTTTGATATTTTAAAGAACTGTTGGAGTTCAAATATCTCTAGGAAGAGATAAATTGGTGGGGTTTTTCTTGCTCCTCTAGACATGGCAGGAAAAGAATCAGGAGAGGACGGGTAGGGAAGCAGGGACTGAATGGGGGAAAAGAGGGCACAGAGCATTGGGTTCTATGGTTTCCTACTCCTCAGCGTTGTTCCAAAGCAGAAATCACTGTACTCAGGGATGAAGGCCCAAGCCAGGGCCCTGTGCAGATTCTCATTCTCATGCAGCTGGGGTTCTGGGGGCCACTTGACCACAGCCTCTTCAACTGGAGGCTGTTCGGTGTGTGTGGGGCTCTGCTCTGCAGGATCTTTGGGGAGAGAGCAACAGCCACTGAGTGTGTACCCCTTGCCATGCCTGCCCCTGCCCACCCCTACCAGGCCTGCACTCATCACACTGCTCATCTGAGGCTGCAACATTCTTGGTGTGTGGGGATCCCACAGTGGGCTCCTCACCATGGCTCTGTGCAGTGCCCTGAAACTCGCCCTGATAGGACCTGCAGTCTTCTTGCGGGTGGAGAACCACCTCCTACAACACAAGCAGCTTTACCCTCAGGGAGAGGGGCTTCTTAGGGATGAAGACATCCAGACCTACCTGCTCCTCTCCCTTCACTGAGAATAGCTGTGTGATATGTTCATCCTCCTCCTGTTGTTCTTCCTCCTCCTGCTGCTCCTTATTCTCCTCCTCTTCCACCTCTTGCTCCTCCTCCTCCATTTCCACTTCCTCCTCCCCTTCTAGCTCCTCCTCCTTCTCCTTTTCCTCTCCTTCTTCCTTCTCCTCCACTCCCACTTGTTCAAGCTCCTCCTCCTCCTGGTTCCAGTACTCCTCATCTCCACTCCTTTGTCTTCCTCCTCCACTCATTCATCATCCTCCTTCTCCTGCTTCTTCTGCTCCTCCTCCTCCTCTACTTGTTTGTCCACCCCCTCCTTCTCCTCCTTGTGCTTCTCCTGCTCTTCATCACCCTCCACCTGTTCATCCTCCTCCCTCAGTTGTTTTTTGTCCTCCTCCTCTTCCTTCTCCTGCTCCTTCTCATCCTCCACTCATTTGTGCTCCTCCTTCTCCACTTGTTCATTCCCCTCCTCCTCCACTTCTTCATACCCCTCTTCCTTCTCATGCACATGTTTTTCTTCCTCCTCCACTCCTTCCACGTCCTCCTCCTTCTCTTCCTTCTGCTCCTCCTCCTTTTGCTGCTCCTCCTCCTTCACTTGTTGTTCCTCCTCCTCCTGTTTTGTGTTCTCCTCCACACAATTGTTGAGGTTTGTCCCCTGTTTGGGGCACACAGCATTGTGCTCTGCTGTGCAAAGGAGAACAATAGACAGAGGTCACTTGCAGGCCTCCCCAAATCCCACACCTTACAGCCTCTGCTGCAGGAACCCTGGCCCAGCTCATCAGTGGTACTGGAATCACCAGAGAGCAACATACGTTGACATTCCAGCTCCTCCTCTTGCTCCACTGCCTTCTCCTGTGACACCTGTACAAAAAAGGAAGCAGAGCACCAGAGTCAGGGCTCTGTGGCCACCTGACCTGCCTGCCCTTCCCAGCCTGGTTGGAACAGCCTCCCCTGAGGCTGCACCATGGCCACATGGTCACCACTGCTCGTAGGTGTTGAAGCCACATCCTCAGCTTTGACCTGGGTCAGGAGTGCCACATAGGCCAAACTCTGGCATGGCTGCCTCTGAAGCTTCAGGCAGCTGAGCCCACTGTTTCTGCACAGAGGTTGGGCCCTTGTTGACAAATGCCATCTGTGGAGGCAGGGTGTGATTCTGTGGGGGGAGCTTTCCAGATCACAGGATGCATGGAGCCTCCTTCTGCCACTGACACCTGTTACTCCTAGGGATGGGGCATGACCACTGCTTTCAGAGAAGGTCCAGGGAAATGAAGGCATGGGGAACCCAAAGTATTGGGGTGTCCAAAGGGACCTCAGTGGAAGAGGCAGGGAAGGAGACCCACGGAAGGATCAAAGCAGAGCCCAGCTCACCACAGCCTTTGAGCCTCTCACGTCTTCAGGACTGGTGCTGTTGGGCTGAGGGCTCTCCATTTTTCTTTCCTCCACCTCCCGTTCATTTCATATTGGGAGCAGTCAGGAGGGAGGGAGGCAGAGCAGTCCCACGCTCCCCTCTACCAACTTCACCAGGTCTCCCTGGGCCACCACGCTCTGGGAGAGAATGAGCAGCCCTCTGCCATCTCGTCCTCCTCCACTCATTCTCAGAGTGCTCCTCAGCCCATGCAACACTGACACCTCCATTCACCTTTCCCGGGGAAGTGCCACAACTTCAGGCTAGGATGTCTGCTTCTTCTGCAGCTTGGAAGCTGACAGGACCTCCTGTAGGTAAGGATGGAAAGTGAGACATCAGAGGCAGCCAGATCCTCCCAGACAGGGGCCCAGCCTCAGCACCTCCATCACCTGGGTGGTCTTCAGGTCTTCGTAAAAGCTAACCAGGGCCTTGTTAGGTCTTCCAGGTCTTTCTGATATACATTCATCACTTGTTTAAATGACTGTAGAAGCTGATATTGCAGAACATGTTTTTCAGAGGCCAGGTGTAAACAGGCCTCAGCTCTCTGGCATAGGATGCCCAGCAGCTGGTCTCTCTGCTGCTGCAGCACCTGGGCCTCCTGGCTCTTCAGCACCAGCTGCAGGAGACCGAGAAGTAAGGTCAGGCATACAGAGGGGCTTCAGCAGCCTGAGGTCAGTAGGGGCTCCTCTGAACCACTAGCCTCCTGTTCCCAGTCTCCAGTACTACAGCCTCTGTTCTTGAATGTGGACCTCACCACATCTATGGAGAATCAGATGCAGCCATGCCACATGTGTTAAGTGATCTCTAGGCTTCGGTTTGCACATATTGACTCACTGAATCCAACAACTCTAAGAGGAAAATGCTAACATTCATTGGAGGTGATGGGAACTGAGGCCACGTGATGGGATGTTTGAAACTGTAACCAGTGCAGCTGAGACTCAGGGTGGAACCAAGGAGCCTCCCCCTCCTACCCTGTTTCCTCCTAGCAGTAGGATGACTCAGGCTTCCAGCAGGGAAATGACATCAGGACCTGGGAGGACCCCAGAGCCACACACCTCTAACAGTCAGAGACCAAAAGCAAAAGACACACAACTGCTCTGCCAGACACTGCAGGACTCTGGGGTCACTTGGGGTCCAGCTGTGGGAGATTAGTTCTGGCCCCAGCACCTCCCACCCCCATCGGGAGCACCTCTGTCCTAGCCCAGTCCCATGGGGCAGGAGTTACCTACCACTGCCTTAAGCTGCGTGATCTCCTCTTGCAGCTGGCCCAGCTTCCAAGTCAGCTCCTTGTGTCTGAGCTGCTCTGAGCTCAGGGTGGTCACTATATTGGTGTTCTCTTCTCTCTACAGAGAATGGAAATCAGTGCCACCAGCACAGGCTGACCCGAGACCCCACCTAGGTGTCTTCAGTGCAAGGCAGGATGGATAATCATCCCCTCTCTGCAGGAGAAGCCCCACAGGGTTCTGACTCACAGGACACTTTCACGATTGAGGAGGACTGTGGCCCAATGTGTTGCAGGGGGGAAGGAGCCAGAGGGTTAGTGTGCTGCTCTGCCTGGAAGGTCTTGGTGGTGAGGAGCCTGGTGAGCAGTGAACACGCACCAGCCTCTGGAAGCTGTCCTGCATCTGGGCCGGCTGCTCCTTAAGCACATGGTTCTGTAATCCTAAAGCATCAGTCATCTTCTGCTGCTCCTCCATGTTGTGCATGATGTTCTTGTGCTCTTCCACCTGCACAGAGCACAGCTCTTCCCTGGTGCCAACCTGCAGATGGTGCTCCTCCTGCTCCCTCATTTTGTTCCACAGAGCCAGGTGTTCTTCCTTTAGCTGCCCCAAGGTGCCCTCCAGCTCCTTCTTCACCTTCTGCAGCTCCAACAGGAGCTGCTGATGTTCCAGGCATGACCCTGCTTGGGGCTGCAGGGCTGGGGCACAAGTGACAAAGGAGGTAGTGGTAACGGCCAAGGTCTCTGAGCCCTGAACAAGCTCTCAGTGCTCAGTCCCCACTCCAGGCTCCTTGCTTGGGCCTTGGCTTCCTCATGACTGATTCCTCATACCCACATCATGGCCAGGCCTGAAGCCATGTTCTTGTATGGATCCTGGGTGGGGGTTGGCAGGGGTACAATACCCTCTCTGCAAATGGGGACACTGAGGCTCAGAGATAGGCCTAAATTGCCAGCTCCTGGCACAGATGCCCTTCCCTTTACCACTGTGCCCTTGAGTCCACCCTTGTCTCCTAGGGCACTGTAAGCCCCACCCACAGCCTGGTTACCCCGCTCTCCCCAGATCACCCTTGTCCCCACTCACCCCCATGTTTTTCCAGTTCACTCAGCTGGACAGGAGGCTTCTCCTCCCTCCTATCCCGCTCCTCCTTTACCTCATGCACCTGCCCAAGGCACAGGGGACAGTAGATGAAGGGAGGGACTAGTGACCTCAGACCCTTCTATCACCCTAGTATCTGTCCCTCTTTCCCTTCTCTGGCCCCAAGCTGCAGTGCTCTCTTTGAAACTCTTCCACTAAGCTATAACAGGCCCAGCCCTAAATGCAGAATTCTTAGCACCTGACATTAGTCTCCTCTGCACTCTGACCCTCTACTGCCATTGCAGCCCCATCCTTAGTTGCCTGGCAGCCATGACACAGCTTCATGTGGGTGACACCCTCCACCACTGGCTGTCTTAGGTTTTATGCACTTTAAAAACTTACTCTTTTATCCACCGGAAAGCAATCATGCTTCTTCTGTTTTTTGAATTCTCTTAATTGTGGAAAGAAGAGCAATGACACTCATGAAAACAATAAGCCACTTTGTTCACATCCTCCTATAGAACACTCTTATGCACACCATCTGCTTAATGCTGCCAACAGCCCTACAACACACTGTGATGGTCAGTCAGTCAGTAAACACACAAGTTAACATGGCTGAACAGCAGGAAGAAAGAAATGAAAGAAAAGAGAAAGAGAAACTTGTCACTGTGGTGTAGGCCTGTAATCCCAAATACTGGTGACATTGCAATAGCAGGATGAGAATGAGGGAAACCTGAGGGGATAAAAGTAGTAAAACACTTCTTCAAATAGAAATAATAAACACTAAAAAGGGCTGAGCATGGAACCCTGTGCTCCCTGGACTTAATCCCTAGATGTAATGGGGGAAAACAGTAACAGGCTGGAGTGCCGCAAGTATTAGAGAGCTTTCTGTACTTTTGAAGGCGGTGGGTCTAATCATCATTACCACACACAGGAGAGTCAAAGATAAAGGGGACAATTAGAAAACATTTTGAGTCCCTCTATAGAATGAACTCCTGGGGAAAAAGCTCACACAAATCTGATCTACTCTGGTCACCCAGAGACTGTCAAACTTTTGAGGTCCCTGATGAAAATTTTATGTTGTCAGTGTCTAAGTTAAGGAGCCCAGTGGCCAAAACCTCTATATCCATTCCCATATTCACATGCCCTTCCAGGGAGAAATCTGTGTCTTCACCACAGAAACCAGAAGGGGGCTAAGCTGCTTTAGGGATCCAAGTGGGAAGATTAAGGGCCAGGTGAGGGTTAGTGATGAGGGCATCCAATGGAAAGGGTCTTAAGTGCACTCTACTCCTCCCTCTCTGCCCCAGAATCTGTCTGTGCCCCCACCCTCCTCTGTGTTCAGACAGCAGAAGGGGAAGAGGTTCTCCAATGTACGGCTCAGGGAGGCAAAATGTGTGAGGGTGGGTAGGAGGCAAGAGCCAAGCCCCAGGTGAGGCCTAAAGGAGTGTCCCCCTAGAGGTGGACGCATTTGGGCTGTGAGGAGAGGATCTGTAACAGGCCTTGAAGGGGGCACTGGAGTGCTGAGGGTCCCTCCACATTTGCTCCCAAGGGGGTACAGACTCTGCCAAGAAGTTGCTAGCTGGGGGCTTGCTCTGGGTCCAGAAACTGAGACCCTGTTCAGTTTACTTTTTTTTTTTTTTGGCCACAGCCAATTTCTTTTTGTTTGTTTGTTTGTTGTTGTTGTTTTGTTTTTGTTTTTGTTTTTGGTATTTTTTCTTTTTATCAGTACCGGGGGATTGAACTCACGACTGCCTGCTTGCAAGGCAGGTGCTTATGCTGCTGACCTAAACCCCCAGCCCCCACAGCCAATTTCTGCCTTCGAATTTCTTCCGGAATAGGAAGACCGGGACAGGGAAAGGGGTGGGGCCACTTCATGACAGTCGCTTCCTTCACAGGGACTCTCAAGAGGCCTCCTCCAGTGGGTCGGGGATGGGTGGAGTGGCATTAAAGCTGCAGACTACTGCTGTTCCAGGCCACCCCAGGGAGCTATGACAGGAGGACCTGGGAGGAAGGGAAACTAAGCTAACAGAAATAAAATAGTAAAAGCACAGAGAAAGATGTGAGGGCATCTACTAAGGAAAATCTCACAACACAGCTCCTTTGAAATCACCTAAGTGCCAAGCATGATGGTGTACACATGTAACCCCCAATACTCCAGAGACTGAGGCAGGAGGATCGCCCTGAGTTTGAGGGCAGCCTGGAATCCATAGTAAGTTCAAGAGCCTGAACTGCCTATCAAGACCTTATTGCAAAAATTAAAATAGTCACACAAAACAGACTTTGAGGGAAACAATATTTACTC